CCATGGTATCGTGTTTTGGTGTGGGACCCTGACCTGTTATCGTGTTTTGGTGTGGGACCTCACCATGTTATCGTGTTTGGGTGTGGCACCCTGACCATGTTATCGTGTTTGGGTGTGGCACCCTGACCATGTTATCGTGTTTGGGTGTGGGACCCTGACCATGTTATCGTGTTTGGGTTGGGTGTGGGACACTGACCATGTTATCGTATTCGGGGTGTGGGACCCTGACCATGTTATCGTGTTTTGGTGTGGGACCCTGACCATGTTATCGTGTTTTGGGTGTGGGACACTGACCATGTTATCGTGTTTTGGTGCGGGACACTGACCATGTTATCGTGTTTGGGTGTGGCACCCTGACCATGTTATCGTGTTTTTGGGTGTGGCACCCTGACCATGTTATCGTGTTTTGGTGTGGGGACACCTGACCATGTTATCGTGTTCTGGTTTGGGACACTGACCATGTTATCGTGTTTTGGTGTGGGTGATGGACACTGACCATGTTATCGTGTTTGGGTGTAGGCACCCTGACCATGTTATCGTGTTTGGGGTGCGGCACCCTGACCATGTTATCGTGTTTGGTTTGGGTGGGACCCTGACCATGTTATCGTGTTTGTTTGCGGTGTGTGGGACACCTGACCATGTTATCGTATTCGGGTGTGTGGACCCTGACCATGTTATCGTGTTTTGGGTGTGGCACCCTGACTATGTTATCATGTTTGGGTGTGGCACCCTGACCATGTTATTATTATGTTTTGGTGTGGGACCCTGACCATGTTATCGTGTTTTGGGTGTGGCACCCTGACCATGTTATCATGTTTTGTGTGGCACCCTGACCATGTTATCGTGTTTTTGGTGTGGGACACTGACCATGTTATCGTGTTTTGTGTGGGACACTGACCATGTTATCGTGTTTTGGGTGTGGCACCCTGACCATGTTATCGTGTTTGGGTGTGGACACTGACCATGTTATCGTGTTTGGGTGTGGCACCCTGACCATGTTATCGTGTTTTGGTGTGGCACCCTGACCATGTTATCATGTTTTGGTGTGGGACCCTGACCATGTTATCGTGTTTTTGGTGTGGACACTGACCATGTTATCGTGTTTGGATGTGGGACCCTGACCATGTTATCGTGTTTGGGTGTGGGACCTTGACCATGTTATTATGTTTTCGGTTGTGGCCCAGGGAATGTTATCGTGTTTTGGGGCCCCGTCACTTCTCCCATTTCTCCCCTGTTGTAGGACGTTAAACAAATATACAGAACGCCAAACTAGCACATTATAGATAGTTCTTCGAAGTCGTTGTTTCTCTCCAACCATGACATCTTTTAGTTCAACACGTTAGGTATAAAGGCACTGGTGTGACGTTCTGTATTTACTTCATAACCTTTTCATGACACTGATGTAATCTGACACTATACGTCACTATGGAAACTTCCGCATTGTGGATACCGTGACCTGAGTATCACTCCGCGTAATGGCGGTATCCAGCAAAGTATGACAGTGTATGTGTTATGTTGACATACACCCAACACCAACATGGCAGTATTCAGCAAAGTATGACAGTGTATGTGTTATGTTGACATACACCCAACACCAACATGGCAGTATTCAGCAAAGTATGACAGTGTATGTGTTATGTTGACATACACCCAACACCAACATGGCAATATCCAGCAAAGTATGACAGTGTATGTGTTATGTTGACATACACCCAACACCAACATGGCAGTATATCAGCAAAGTATGACAGTGTATGTGTTATGTTGACATACACCCAACACCAACATGGCAATATCCAGCAATAAAAGTATGACAGTGTATGTGTTATGTTGACATACACCCAATACCAACATGGCAATATCCAGCAAAGTATGACAACATGGCAGTATGTGTATATGTTGACATACACCCAACACCAACATGGCAATATCCAGCAAAGTATGACAGTGTATGTGTTATGTTGACATACACCCAATACCAACATGACAGTATTCAGAAAAGTATGACAGTGTATGTGTTATGTTGACATACACCCAACACCAACATGGCAATATCCAGCAAAGTATGACAGTGTATGTGTTATGTTGACATACACCCAACACCAACATGGCAGTATCCAGCAAAGTATGACAGTGTATGTGTTATGTTGACATACACCCAACACCAACATGGCAATATCCAGCAAAGTATGACAGTGTATGTGTTATGTTGACATACACCCAATACCAACATGGCAGTATTCAGCAAAGTATGACAGTGTATGTGATATGTTGACATACACCCAACACCAACATGGCAGTATCCAGCAAAGTATGACAGTGTATGTGTTATGTTGACATACACCCAATACCAACATGGCAATATCCAGCAAAGTATGACAGTGTATGTGATATGTTGACATACACCCAACACCAACATGGCAATATCCAGCAAAGTATGACAGTGTATGTGTTATGTTGACATACACCCAATACCAGACCGCCACCGTGGTGTAGTGGTTAGAGCGTCCGCCCGGAGAGCGGAAGGTCGCGGGATCGATCCCCGACTGCGTCATACCAAAAATGCCTTAAAATATGGTCTTTATGGTCCCAGCCTGGCGATCGGCATTAATTCGTACAACAAGGACTGGTCGCCTCAGAATCAGCATAATGTGTCTGAGTGGGGTATTCATGCTTCACTGCGGCGTGGTATCTCAGTGGGCTAGCACTATAAAACCAGGTTAAGTCTGGGCTAGTACAAGCAGCCGCACATACACGTACACACGCATGCACGTCGTCATATGAGCTGAAATATTCTCAAACACGACGTAAAACCCAATCACCCAATACCAAACATGGCAATATGTATGACGTCATATGTGTTATGTTGACATACAGCATGGCGTACACCAACATGGCAAAGAGTATGACACTGTATGTGTTACATGTTATACACCCAGGTATTTACCAAATGGCGGTATCCAGCAAAGTATGACACCGTATGTGTTATGTTGACATACACCCAACACCAACATGGCAGTATTCAGCAAAAGTATGACAGTGTATGTGTTATGACATACGCCCAACAACCAACATGGCGGTATTCAGCATACACCTGTATGTGTTATGTTGACATACACCCAATACCAACATGGCGGTATCCAGCAAAGTATGACAGTGTTGTGTGATACGTTGACATACACCCAACAACCAACATGGCAATATCCAGCAAAGTATGACAGTGTATGTGTTATGTTGACATACACCCAATAACCAACATGGCGGTACCAACATGGCAATACCAACATGGCAGTATCCAGCAAAGTATGACAGTGTATGTGTTATGTTGACATACACCCAATACCAACATGGCAGTATCCAGCAAAGTATGACACTGTATGTGTTATGTTGACATACACCCGACACCAACATGGCAGTATCCAGCAAAGTATGACACCGTATGTGTTATGTTGACATACACCCAACACCAACATGGCAGTATTCAGCAAAGTATGACAGTGTATGTGTTATGTTGACATACACCCAACACCAACATGGCAATATCCAGCAAAAGTATGACAGTGTATGTGTTTGTTGATACGACCTGACATACACCCAACACCAACATGGCAATATTCCAGCAAAGTATGACAGTGTATGTGTTATGTTGACATACACCCAACACCAACATGGCAGTATCCAGCAAAGTATGACACCGTTTGTATGTGTTATGTTGACATACACACCAACATGGCAATACCAAGTATGGCTGTTTGTATGACATCAGCATGGCAAAGGCAAAGTATGACAGTGTATGTGATATGTTGACATACACCCAATACCAACATGGCAGTATTCAGCAAAGTATGACAGTGTATGTGTTATGTTGACATACACCCAATACCAACATGGCAGTATCCAGCAAAGTATCACACTGTATGTGTTATGTTGACATACACCCAATACCAACATTGTGGTATTCAGCAAAGTACGACACTGGTAACATCTAGAGGATCCCAATAACGTAAGCTGTGAATGTGTTTCAGTGATCGCCGCTGAAACCGAGCTCAACTACCTGATCGCCAGCTGCACAGTGGCCATCCTTCTCCTCATCCTCTGTATAACAATGGCAGTTATTTTTTACAACTGGTAAGTGCTCTCTATATTCCTTGTATTTAATGTATCAGGCCCGAAGAATGACGTGTAGAATTAGACAGCATGTAAATGAACGTGGCATTAATATGCTACCTACAAACACCACCTGCTCACGACATAACATACCTTGAAGCAAGACAGTAATGTTTATGTATATCTAGCAAGGCCTGGGTATAGAACAACATTTGAACAAACAAATGGCTGATAACAACAATTCACATAGTCATGGTACACTGACTCAGTCAAACGGAGAGATTGGAACCACCAGGTCCCTCCCTTATATGGAATTAGTCATGGTACACTGGACCCGTGAAGATACGGGGTAGAATAGGCCTTCAGCAACCCATGCTTGCCACTTAAGGCGACTATGCTTGTCGTAAGAGGCGACTAACGGGATCGGGTGGTCAGGCTCGCTGACTTGGTTGACACATGTCATCGGTTCCCAAACGCGCAGATCGATGCTCATGCTGTTGATCACTGGATTGTTTGGTCCAGACTCGATTATTTACAGACCGCTGCCATATAGCTGGAATATTGCTGAGTGCAGCAACTAAACTCACTCACTCACTCATGGTACACTGACTCAGTCAACCAGGTAGATTGGAACCACCGGATCCATGCCTTACATGGTCTTAAACTAATCATGGAAACCAGAAGTGATCATTGTCCGTACCAAGGGTGATCGTTTGAGTCACTGAAACATGGCGGTATACACGTCCAGTTAAACCACTATCTCGTATCATTACCGGCCTTTAAATACCTTCGTCTAGCGAATACAGACTCTTTAACAGAATATGAAGCTTATCATATATTGCAACAGTTTTGTATATGTAAAATAATCATTTCTTGGCGGTGGCACCTTGATTTTACCGGTCCTTTGGTTATGAATTAATACCAAAACACGAACGGAAGAGAGTCGAAGTGATGAAGAAGTTGAGCCGCCATTCCTCCGAGCAATACCTGACGACCCAGATCACAGCGGACAGAGGTAGGTTTTTCTCCAGGAGGAAAATGTATAGTGTACCGTGTACAGTGTATCGACAATCGAGTACCGTGTACGGTGTACAGTGTATCGAGTACCGTGTACAGTGTATCGACTATCGAGGACCGTGTACCGTGTACAGTGTATCGACTATCGAGTACCGTGTACAGTGTATCGACTATCGAGTACCGTGTAAAGTGTATCGACTATCGAGTACCGTGTACCGTGTACAGGGTATCGACTATCGAGTACCATGTACCTTGTACAGTGTACCGACTATCGACTACCGTGTACAGTGTATCGACTATCGAGTACCGTGTACAGTGTATTGACTATCGAGTACCATGTACCGTGTACGTGTAAGACTATCGAGTACCGTGTACCGTGTATGAACTAGTTGAGCCGTGTACAGTGTATCCTCCGAGCACCGACCTGACGACCGTGTACAGTGTATCGACAGCGTACCGACAGACCGTGTACAGTGTTTTCGACTATCGAGTACCGTGTACCGTATACCGTGTACAGTGTGGTATCGTGTACCGTGTATCGAGTACCGTGTACCGTGTACAGTGTATCGACTATCGAGTACCGTGTACAGTGTACCGACTATTGAGTACCGTGTACCGTGTACAGTGTATCGACTACCGTACCGTGTACCGTGTACCGACTATCGAGTACCGTGTACAGTGTATCGACTATCTATCGACTATCGAGTACCGTGTACCGTGTACAGTGTATCGACTATCGAGTACCGTGGCCAGTGTATCGACTATCGAGTACCGTGTACGGTGTATCGACTATCGAATACCGTGTACCGTGTATCCGACTATGTACGTGCAACGTGTACAGTGTATCGACACCGTGTACGGTGTATCGACTATCAGTACCGTGTAAAGTGTACCGACTATCGAGTACCGTATACCGTGTACAGTGTATCGACTATCGAGTCCCGTGTACCGTGTACAGTGTATCGACTATCGAGTACCGTGTACAGTGTATCGACTATCGAGTACCGTGTAAAGTGTATCGACTATCGAGTACCGTGTACCGTGTACAGTGTATCGACTATCGTGTACCGTGTACAGTGTATCGACTATCGAGTACCGTGTACATTGTATCGACTATCGAGTACCGTGTACAGTGTATCGACTATCGAGTACCGTGTACAGTGTATCGACTATCGGTGTATCGAGTACCGTGTACCGTGTACAGTGTATCGACTGTCAAGAGTACCGTGTACCGTGTACAGTGTACCGTGTACCGGTGTCGTATCAGTGTAGTCACCATATCCCGTGACGTGTATCAATTTATCGATCGTGTACCGTGTACGGTGTATCGACTATCAAGTACCGTGTACAGTGTATCGACTATCGAGTACCGTGTACAGTGTATCGACTATCGAGTACCGTGTACAGTGTATCGACTATCGAGTACCGTGTACAGTGTATCGACTATCGAGTACCGTGTACCGTGTACAGTGTATCGACTATCGTACCGTACCATGTACAGTGTATGCTATCTGAGTACCATGTACCCGACTATCGTGTACCGTGTACAGTGTATCGACTATCGAGAGTACCGTGTACAGCAATTATCGACTATCGTACCGTGTACGTGACTATCGAGTACCAGTGTACCGTGTACAGTGTACCGACTATCGAGTACCGTGTACCGTGTATCGACTATCGAGTACCGTGTACAGTGTATCGACTATCGGTTACCGTGTACAGTGTACCGACTATGAGTACCGTTTACCGTGTACAGGGTATCGACAATCGAGTACCGTGTACCGACTATCGAGTACCGTGTACAGTGTATCGACTATCGAGTACCGTGTACAGTGTATCGTCTATCAAGTACCGTGTACCGGGTACCGACTATCGAGTACCGTGTACAGTGTACCGAGTATCGAGTACCGTGTACAGTATATCGACTATCGAGTACCCGGTACCGTGTACAGGGTATCGACTATCGAGTACCGTGTACCGACTATCGAGTACCGTGTACCGTGTACAGTGTATCGACTATCTAGTACCGTGTACCGCGTACAGTGTATCGACTATCGAGTACCATGTACCGTGTACAGTGTACCGACTATCGTGTACCGTGTAAAGGGTATCGACTATCGAGTACCGTGTACAGTGTATCGACTATCGAGTACCGTGTACCATGTACAGTGTATCGACTATCGAGTACCGTGTACCGTGTACAGTGTACCGACTATCGAGTACCGTGTACAGTGTATCGACTATCGAGTACCGTGTACAGTGTATCGACTATCGAGTACCGTGTACAGTGTATCGACTATCGAGTACTGTGTACAGTGTATCGACTATCGAGTACTGTGTACAGTGTATCGACTATCGAGTATCGTGTACCGTGTATCGACTTTTGAGTATCGAGTACCGTGCACCGTATTCGAGTTGCTGTACAATATGTTGGTCCATGTGCTCCTGATTTGTGTTTGAAGGCGGTTATTAATCCTGTTTCAGTTTCTCTGAGCTTGTTGTAAGTACGTGTTTCGGAGGAGACTACCTGCATTACCCGTGACGTAATCACTATGTGTTGTCGTTTCAGGTTCCTGGGTTGAAAGATGGTATGTATGAAAGAGCTCCTGAGATTTGGATCTCTCATTATATTGTACAGATCTTTTTCCAATGCTTGATATTAAAATGCAATTCAATCTGAATTCTACCATGACTTCAGTAAAGACTGGATTGTGATTGGTTAATTAGAGTCTATCAGAGGTATATAATCACGTTATATACTTCTGAACCGATTAGTGGCGACGGTAAATAGTTCGTTCTAAAAATATTAATAACGTGGTTATGTTAGAATGGAGACAAACCATACTGTGTTGGAAAATCAGACGTATGTAACGAAATTATAATAGCTCAAAATTATATTTTAAAACCGAATGCGCCTTTATCGGTATCACGGGCAGCAGAGGTGAAATATCGCGCATGTTTGAATGTTCGCCCCGGGAACAATGTTCGCCATTGTTGTTTGTGAGAAACACAACCGGATCTACCAATAACAAAACGATATGGATACCAATTCACTGAACGTGTTCAGAGGGGAAATATGTTTTGTTTGAAGTACATGATAATACTAAGTGACTAATGTTCGACACTAATGTATGTTATACGGAAATCTTTCGATAATACAAACATGATCCTTGTTACAGGAATGATCGTCACACAGAAGAAAGGGTAAGATATCATACACGCTACACTTGCATCTCACCCTCACCCACCTTCACCTGTAGCTTGTTACATCTCACCCTCACCCTCACCCTCGGTCACCTGTAGCTTGTTACATCTCACCCTCACCCTCGGTCACCTGTAGCTTGTTACATCTCACCCTCACCCACGTTCACCTGTAGCTTGTTGTATCTCACCCTCACCCACGTTCACCTGTAGCTTGTTACATCTCACCCTCACCCACGTTCACCTGTAGCTTGTTACATCTCTCCCCCTCACCCACCTTCACCCTCGTTACCTTGTTACATCTCTCCCTCACCCACGTTCACCTGAAGCTTGTTGCATCTCACCCTCACACACGTTCACCTGTAGCTTGTTACATCTCACCCTCACACACGTTTGCTTTCAGCCACTAATCCACTGCAATAGTCACATGAAGAACTGAGCGAGCGCTAACACAAGGGAGGTAACTCTGATATTGTTGTGCTACTGGAGTCCCAATGTCACAAACAATTACTTATCCTTGTTGTATGTTTCTATCCTTGCAATAGAATGTCTCTACTTACTGATCGTTTAATGGATATTTTCATACACTTCAAAGTCATTCTAGAAAGGGCGCGGAAATGTGTATGGGGATGGGGGTGGGGGTGGGGTGGGGAACGTGGTACTTGTCATTCGATGATTAGAAATCTTGCAACTTACTTTCAGTTTCAGTTTCATTTTGTTGCAAACCAATCTTATTTTTCTGAAGACTGAATTATATATCTAGCAATATACAGGTGCACAAGAGTACAAGATTAATGATGTTATTCACTGTTCAGGAATTGATCTTCCATAAACAGAGATTACAGGGACCATAGCCCGAATCCCATGTGTAGTGTTTGTGGTCCTCCTCTGTTGTTGGCAGGATGCAGTGATGCAGCTTGGGCCTGAAGCTCCGGAGCCTGAGTACCGGATAGAGACAACACTAGAGGACAACACCACCGACATCGACGTCCCCGAAGGCCTCTACGCCAGCGTTAACAAGTCCGGGATCGTACGGCAGTCGTCGTCAAGCGGAAATGAAGTAGGCACCAGCACCACCACCCTGAAAGACTGCACGGCACTCCTGTGAGGGACCAGGGCCCACAAGGGTAGGCATCTCACTACACCTAGACGTTAGGTGACGTCACAGGGTAGGGATCTCACTACACCTAGACGTTAGGTGACGTCACAGGGTAGGGATCTCACTACACCTAGACGTTAGGTGACGTCACAGGGTAGGGATCTCACTACACCTAGCCGTTAGTTGACGTCACAGGGTAGGGATCTCACTACACCTAGCCGTTAGTTGACGTCACAGGGTAGGGATCTCACTACACCTAGCCGTTAGGTGACACGTCACAGGGTAGGGATCTCACTACACCTAGCCGTTAGGTGACGTCACAGGGTAGGCATCTCACTACACCTAGCCGTTAGGGATCTCACTACACCTAGCTGTTAGGTGACACGTCACAGGGTAGGGATCTCACTACACCTAGCCGTTAGGTGACACGTCACAGGGTAGGGATCTCACTACACCTAGCCGTTAGGTGACGTCACAGGGTAGGGATCTCACTACACCTAGCCGGTAGGTGACACGTCACAGGGTAGGGATCTCACTACACCTAGCCGTTAGGTGACACGTCACAGGGGTAGGGATCTCACTACACCTAGCCGTTAGGTGACAAGTCACAGGGTAGGGATGTCACTACACCTAGCCGTTAGTTGACGTCACAGGGTAGGGATGTCACTACACCTAGTCGTTAGGTGACACGTCACAGGGTAGGGATCTCACTACACCTAGCCGTTAGGTGACACGTCACAGGGTAGGGATCTCACTACACCTAGCCGTTAGGTGACAAGTCACAGGGTAGGGATCTCACTACACCTAGCCGTTAGTTGACGTCACTGGGTAGGGATGTCACTACACCTAGTCGTTAGGTGACACGTCACAGGGTAGGGATCTCACTACACCTAGTCGTTTGGTGACACGTCACAGGGCAGGGTTGTCACTGCACCTAGTCGTCAGGTGACACGTCACAGGGTAGGGATCTCACTACACCTATCTGACACGTCACAGGGTAGCATCTCACTACACCTAGTCGTTTGGTGACACGTCACAGGGTAGGCATCTCACTACACCTAGTCGTCAGGTGACACGTCACAGGGTAGAGTTGTTGTACAGCCACGGGTTGTCACTATACCTAGTCGTTAGGTGACACGTCACAGGGTAGAGTTGTTGTACAGCCACGGGTTGTCACTACACCTAGCCGTTAGGTGACACGTCACAGGGTAGGGATCTCACTACACCTAGCCGTTAGGTGACACGTCACAGGGTAGGGATCTCACTACACCTAACCGTTAGGTGACACGTCACAGGGTAGAGTTGTTGTACAACTGTGGGTTGTCCCTCCATCTAGCCGTTAGGTGACACGTCACAGGGTAGAGTTGTTGTACAGCCACGGGTTGTCACTATACCTAGTCGTTAGGTGACACGTCACAGGGTAGAGTTGTTGTACAACTGTGGGTTGTCCCTCCATCTAGCCGTTAGGTGACACGTCACAGGGTAGAGTTGTTGTACAGCCACGGGTTGTCACTATACCTAGCCGTCAGTTGACACGTCACAGAATATACAGGGACCTTGAGTAGTGTTTGTCATGATCTCTGTGCTAGCTGTGCTGAAACTCAACTGTTGTACCTGACGTTCCGTTATACGTTCATTTAATACACTTTAGCAACACAGAAAGATATGAACACTAATCCTTCGAGATTATATCTGATAGATTTTACACGCATCAAGAATCGGATTAGTGCGTCTGACACCGTCCCCTCTCTTTTCATTGAGAGAGTTCCGAGGGTTGAAACCGTAATACTGGAAGAGCCCTACAATCCCCCCCACACCAGCAGAGGAGCTTCATGTTGACAGATGCAGCTTTACATGACAGCAGTCTAATCCCTTTACATCTTTGAATACTGTGCCTTCCTGTAGTAATATAATAGACGACTAGTTGTCGGAATGTTAAGCAGGGCTGTCAGTCACTTATGAAGTGAACGTTGTTAGCACACTTTATAAACACAGTACTCAGACGCCCTGACAATGTAAATCACATTATGTGGGGGGTCTCAGCGCTCATCAAACACAAATTGACGCGCACTTGTTTTAACCCAACTGTCACAACACAGCAGGAATACGTGGCTGGGCCTTAACTCAGTCGGGGATGTCTACTGATGGCTGATGTAGAGTTTGCGCACATGGGTATAAGATGGTGGTGATTAAAACATCAGCCCCTGTGGTCCAGCCCGTCTCGCGGCTCCAGACGATCAGTGGTTGCCCTTACATTTCCCTGACAGTCAGGACTAATGTTTGGTGTGTTTGTACGGTGGTTCCATCATGTTATTAGCAGCTACTCACTGTCGTTAATTATTGGAATCAGGAACACATGTTTTGGTAATTTTCGTTTCAGCTGGCTGTCAGTGTCCAAATGTCACGTGCATCAGTAAACAACAAACATGGAAGAAACAACACTTAGCCACCACCGCCAACTTGGACCTGTAGCCGCTGACGTCGTCACTTTCCCTCCAGCTATTGAGAAAATATCCGATGGTCGTACAGCCGGGGACGTGCTGCAGGGTGGAGCTTAGTTTTCAGGAGATATTTTCAAATTGTTATCTTCCATTTTATACTCTTATGTACATATGAATGCCATATAAACGTGGGGTATATAACGTACCTGTTGATTGTCAATGTGGTTCCTAGATACTTTACATATTCTCTGACAACACTGACTATAGTCATGTTCTTTTTACACTGGAATATTAACGCATACAAGACGGGCGTCACAATGTGCCAAAACGTGTACCGTTACTATATAGAATATCAACTTTCGCCCGTAGGAGAGGTGTTCATCGATAATAGTATACATTGGATCAGCATTACAAGTAACTGAAAGAGCAAATGATATATGTTCTCCATTAACACCAGACGGTGGAAACAACAAAAGTGTCCTCGTTTAAGTCGTGGGAGACCCAATGACGCATAGTTTCCTCAGACGCAATACAGAAATACAGTCAATGACAGAGTATGTATTTTGTTATGAAGGTATAATATATTTCCGTTGTCGGCCATGTTGGTCCATCCTGTTGCTACGTTACTAAATATATTCGTTATACAAACGATTGGACGTTTACACAGATCTGAACAGTATTTGTTGCATGTGATACGATGTTGCATTAAGCCTATCTCTGAAGGTAAGCCTGTCTGTGACGGTAGTCCTGTCTGTGACGGTAGTCCTGTCTGTGACGGTAAGCCTGTCTGTGACGGTAGTCCTGTCTGTGACGGTAAGCCTGTCTGTGACGGTAAGCCTGTCTGTGACGGTAGTCCTGTCTGTGACGGTAAGCCTGTCTGTGACGGTAAGCCTGTCTGTGACGGTAAGCCTGTCTGTGACGGTAGTCCTGTCTGTGACGGTAAGCCCGTCTGTGACGGTAAGCCTGTCTGTGACGGTAAGCCTGTCTGTGACGGTAAGCCTGTCTGTGACGGTAAGCCTGTCTGTGACGGTAGTCCTGTTCTGTGACGGTAAGCCTGTCTGTGACGGTAAGCCTGTCTGTGAGGGTAAGCCTGTCTGTGACGGTAAGCCTGTCTGTGACGCTAAGCCTGTCTGTGACGGTAGTCCTGCCTGTGACGGTAAGCCTGTCTGTGACGGTAGTCCTGTCTGTGACGGTAAGCCTGTCTGTGACGGTAAGCCTGTCTGTGACGGTAAGCCTGTCTGTGAGGTTAAGCCTGTCTGTGAGGGTAAGCCTACCTGTGACGGTAAGCCTGTCTGTGACGGTAAGCCTGTCTGTGACGGTAAGCCTGTCTGTTACGGTAGTCCTGTCTGTGACGGTAAGCCTGTCTGTGACGGTAAGCCTGTCTGTGAGGGTAAGCCTGTCTGTGACGGTAAGCCTGTCTGTGACGGTAAGCCTGTCTGTGACGGTAGTCCTGTCTGTGACGGTAAGCCTGTCTGTGACGGTAGTCCTGTCTGTGACGGTAAGCCTGTCTGTGACGGTAAGCCTGTCTGTGAGGGTAAGCCTGTCTGTGAGGGTAAGCCTGTCTGTGAGGGTAGGCCTACCTAGTGACGGTAGGCCTACCTGTGACGGTAAGCCTGTCTGTGACGGTAAGCCTGTCTGTGACGGTAAGCCCGTGTGTGACGGTAAGCCTGTCTGTGACGGTAAGCCCGTGTGTGACGGTAAGCCTGTCTGTGGCGGTAAGCCTGTCTGTGACGGTGGGGCGTGTGTGATACAGGGGAGGTACCTATACTTTGCTGGGTAACAAGTATTGTCATAATTGCCTATACAGTTAATAAACAGTGTGTGGCGTTGGTGACCAGACTGTTGACGTTTTTCGTACAGATTGTCGACAGTTTGTGTACAGATTGTCTACTGTTTGTGTACAGACTGTCTGCTGTTTGTGTACAGATTGTCTCTACTGTTTGTGTACAGACTGTCTACTGTTTGTTACAGATTGTCTCTACTGTTTGTGTACAGTTTGTCTATTGTTTGTGTACAGTTTGTTTACTGTTTATGCACAAGCCTTCCCAACAAACATGCGTACTGTCTACATTTCGTACGTTGTTGATTTTGTACGTTTCCACATTGTACATATCATTTTCAAATAAACTATGCAGTTTTGTACGATATTGTTTTCTATCAGTCACTGGAATTCAAAGTAGTAAGTTAATGTTTCGTATTACATCCTATTCCTGTGACAAACAAAACAGCTGTTTATATCACCTATATACATCTATACATACACCTCCAGGCTGCTACAGATATATGACCTATATACGTCTAAACCAGCAGTCTGTTACATATATATATCAACTACAAACACCATCATCAGTAAGTGTTACTGGCGACATTCATAGGATTAATGCTTATATTTGTGACCAATTACGAATTCGACTAAGTCTGCATCGATCCTGCAGTTAGCCATTGAGTAATAGAGAGGAGGCAATTTGCATGAACGACTGACCAGTTACTGCTGGTCACACAGACAAAAGTATGTCGAGCTTGTGACTAGCCTGGTCCGTTTGCTGGGCACGGCGTAATTAAATTGCTTGATGAAATTAAAGTTATCATGAAAAGGCCAGCGGGAAATTAATGAAGTGTTCGCTGGAGGAGCAGAATGTCTATCTTGTGATTAGGTTGTCTTGATAACTCGCATCAGATATGTACACGGCGATGACTGACTGACCGCTGGCCGTGCAAAGGGCGACTGACCCCGAGCGGCAACTTCTTATGATTTACACGGCATCCCGTACAAGGTGATGTTTATGGTACGTGAACGGATGGGTGAGGGTGTAGGAACAACAGACGCGTACACTTTGACCCAACATGGCCTACTGTTCAGGGAGTGCAGATATTTCATTTCCTTAGTCAATAAAAATAATTACCATGGTTGACCTAGGTGGAGCTGTGTATTGTTATATCTACAGGCTGCCCCACCATGTATAGGTGGAGCCATGTCTTGTTACATCTACAGGCTGCCCCACCATGTATAGGTGGAGCCATGTCTTGTTACATATAAAGGCTGCCCCACCATGTATAGGTGGAGCCATGTCTTGTTACATCTACAGGCTGCCCCACCATGTATAGGTGGAGCCATGTCTTGTTACATATAAAGGCTGCCCCACCATGTATAGGTGGAGCCATGTCTTGTTACATCTACAGGCTGCCCCACCATGTATAGGTGGAGCCATGTCTTGTTACATCTACAGGCTGCCCCACCATGTATAGGTGGAGCCATTTTCATCTACAGGCTGCCCCCACCATCTATAGGTGGAGCCATGTCTTGTTACATCTACAGGCTGCCCCACCATGTATAGGTGGAGCCATGTCTTGTTACATCTACAGGCTGCCCCACCATCTATAGGTGGAGCCCATGTCTTGTTACATCTACAGGCTGCCCCACCATCTACAGGTGGAGTCAGGTGGAGCATGTCTTGTCACAACTAGTACCAGCCGCAAAGAAGTAAGTACGTGAACTGTCATATTTGTATCTTTATCCCCATGAAACTCCAGCCGATTCCGTTTTTATCGTGCCGTGAAACCGACCTATTATGTCGGAATTGTTCTTTGCCGCAGGGACAAGGTCTTCTACTGTTAGACTGGATGTCTCAGAAGATTGTCCTTATTCTTACCAGAGGCTGTGGAAAGATATGCTATAGTTTCAGACAAGGCACCCAGAAACGATCCTATTTCCGTTGTATTCAACAAAGATCGAAACTTTGTACGAATGATATGCTTTGCCTCAGCAACTGTTTTCAGTGGTCGTTGGAAAACACTCGCACATCAATGGATTGTTTCCATTTCATTATCACAAAGGTCTACCTTTGTTATCCCTTCCGCATGGAGAAGACTGAACCGTAGTGTGCGTTGGGTTGCAAGATATAGAGCTGATGAGTGTGTCGGTGGGGAGAGGTGACAAAGGCAGTCGATGCTAGCAGTGGCACAGGATGGAGAAATACTCAACCCTGTCTGACACAAGGCAGTCAGTGCTTGCAGTGACACAGGGTGGAGAGATACTCAACCCTGTCTGACACAAGGCAGTCAGTGCTGGCAGTGAAACAGGGTGGAGAAATACTCAACCCTGTCTGACACAAGGCAGTCAGTGCTTGCAGTGATACAGGGTGGAGAAATACTCAAACCTGTCTGACACAAGGCAGTCAGTGCTAGCAGTGACACAGGGTGGAGAGATACTCAACCCTGTCTGACACAAGGCAGTCAGTGCTTGCAGTGACACAGGATGGAGAGATACTCAACCCTGTCTGACACAAGGCAGTCAGTGCTTGCAGTGATACAGGGTGGAGAGATACTCAACCCTGTCTGACACAAGGCAGTCAGTGCTAGCAGTGATGCAAGGTCTAGAGATGCTCAACCCTGTCTGAAACAAGGCAGTCAGTGCTAGCAGTGACACAGGTTGGAGAGATACTCAACCTTGTCTGACACAAGGCAGTCAGTGCTAGCAGCGACACAGGGTGGAGAGATACTCAACCCTGTCTGACACAAGGCAGTCACTGATTGCAGTGACACAGGACCGAGAGATACTCAACTTGTCTGACAAAAGGCAGTCAGTGCTAGCAGTGATTCAGGGAGGAGAACAACTCAACCCTGTCTGACACAAGGCAGTCAGTGATAGCAGTGACACAGGGTGGAGAGATATTCAACCCTGTCTGACACAAGGCAGTCACTGCTTGCAGTGACACAGGATGGAGAGATACTCAACTTGTCTGACACAAGGCAGTCAGTGCTAGCAGTGGCACAGGATGGAGAGATACTCAACCCTGTCTGACACAAGGCAGTCAGTGCTAGCAGTGACACACGGTGGAGACATACTCAACCCTGTCTGACACAAGGCAGTCACTGCTTTGCAGTGACACAGGATGGAGAGATACTCAACTTGTTCTCACACAAGACAGTCAGTGCTAGCAGTGGTACAGGATGGAGAGATACTCAACTTGTCTGACATAAGGCAGTCAGTGCTAGCAGTGATGCAAGGTGTAGAGATGCTCAACCCTGTCTGAAACAAGGCAGTCAGTGCTGGCATTGACACAGGACCGAGAGATACTTAACCCTGTGTTACACAAGGCAGTCAGTGCTTGCAGTGATACAGGGTGAAGAGATACCCAACCCTGCCTGACACAAGGCAGTCAGTGCATGCAGTGACACAGCAAACTCTGGAGAGACACTCAACTCTTGTCTGACACAAGGCAGTCAGTGCTAGCAGTGATACAGGGTGGAGAAATACTCAACCCTGTCTGACACAAGGCAGTCAGTGCTTGCAGTGACACAGGGTGGAGAGATACTCAACCCTGTCTGACACAAGGCAGTCAGTGCTAGCGATGATACAGGTTGGAGAGATACTCAACCCTGTCTGACACAAGGCAGTCAGTGCTTGCAGTGACACAGGATGGAGAGATACTCACCTTGTCTGACACAAGGCGGTCAGTGCTAGCAGTGGCACAGGATGGAGAGATACTCAACCCTGTCTGACACAAGGCAGTCAGTGCTAGCAGTGATACATGCTGGAGAGATACTCAACCCTGTCTGACACAAGGCAGTCAGTGCTACCATTGATACATGCTGGAGAGATACTCAACCCTGTCTGACACAAGGCAGTCAGTGCTTGCAGTGATACAGGTTGGAGAGATACTCAACCCTGTCTGACACAAGGCAGTCAGTGCTAGCAGTGATGCAAGGTCTAGATATGCTCAATCCTGTCTGAAACAAGGCAGTCAGTGCTACCATTGATACATGCTGGAGAGATACTCAACCTTGTCTGACACAAGGCAGTCAGTGCTGGCAGTGATACAGGGTGGAGAGATACTCAACCCTGTCTGACACAAGGCAGTCAGTGCTAGCAGTGATGCAAGGTGTAGAGATGCTCAACCCTGTCTGAAACAAGGCAGTCAGTGCTGGCATTGACACAGGACCGAGAGATACTTAACCCTGTGTTACACAAGGCAGTCAGTGCTTGCAGTGATACAGGGTGGAGAGATTGGACATTTTAGCATCACATTAACCGCTCACATGGACAAACGTAGACTCAATTATGTACAGATAGCCGTTATACAGCAATATTGCCCAGTGCAGCGTTTCACAACCAACAAACTTCAAATCAACAAATAAAACATCTGATAATCATTACGACAATGAAAGCTTTAATTTCTTGAATTATTTCATATAGCGGAGACTTAATTGTGACTTTTCTGTCACTCATCTAAAAAACCGGGTCTCCGTATATTAGAAAATGAACGTTATTGTGTACGTTTTAGCCAAGGGGTGAGCGATGAAGGCACTGGATGTTAAACAACTGGTTGTCAAAATATTGGAACAGTTTAGTTACTCATGAGGGCCTATGTCAGGTAGTGTTACAGCGATCTTACAGTTTCAACAACATCAGTCAGTGAAAGACTGCATGAAGTACATCAGAAAACACACACGTGGTCCTGCTGCACCATCAGCCATTGTGTGTTGAATCTCGCCGTGTTGACGAGAGTACGGACCACAAAATAGTAGTGCTGTAATCGTCAACTCGCGCTGAACTGGAGGAAACGATCTGATCGACTTATGATGAATTCTGTGACAGTAGCCGCGTTTCCTACAGGCTGTCTGAGGGGGTCGCACGAGGGGCTGCGCATTATACCGGATTAAGTGGCAACATTTGTCCTGATCGATTCCTCCACGGGCTCAAGGTCTGAAGCAAGGATATCTCAAAGAAACGACAGTGACTAAAAATGGTTCTTTTTAAAATGCTGGGTTCTAGCTATCTGCCATGGTTTGAATGGAAATAGTAGCACTTCGTGGGCTCTTTCAGGATAAAAACTGACACCGGTACGAATCATAGCATTTTTGGTGTACTCAGTGTGTAAATACCGACTCTGACTGTTCTGGGAGAATATTGAAACAGTTGTATACTCGGAGTTGAAGGGCGTTCAAGCAGGACGTTGAGACATTGATTTAGTCTAAGTGAGTTTTCGTGAGGTAACACCGTTAAAAACATTGTCCTCATGATGGCCTGTTGCAGGTGGTGTTCTCAGGGTGAGACTTGGGGCAGATTGTGATCTTCAGATCACGGGGTTGTAACAGTGTCCCATGGTTGCGGATGTTGTCACATTGCATTCCCCGTTTGAGGATGCTGAGGCATTTTGATTCCCGGTGGATGTTTTGCCACATGGCTTGAAACACTGGTGTTCCGAGTGACGATATTGAGACATTGTCTCTTCAAAAGACTCCTGTTGTTGAGATATTGTGTTGAATGAAACATTGTGTTATAAAGGATGAGGGTGTTGAGACATTGTGTTCTACAGATGAGGGTGTTGAGATGTTGCGTTTTACAGATGAGGGTGTTGAGATATTGTGTTTTACAGATGAGGGTGTTGAGATATTGTGTTCTACAGATGAGGGTGTTGAGATATTGTGTTCTACAGATGAGGGTGTTGAGATGTTGTGTTCTACAGATGAGGGTGTTGAGATATTGTGTTCTACAGATGAGGGTGTTGAGATATTGTGTTCTATAGATGAGGATGTTGAGACATTGTGTTCTACAGATGAGGGTGTTGAGATATTGTGTTCTACAGATGAGGGTGTTGAGATATTGTGTTTACAGATGAGGGTGTTGAGATGTTGTGTTCTACAGATGAGGGTGTTGAGATATTGTGTTCTACAGATGAGGGTGTTGAGATATTGTGTTCTACAGATGAGGGTGTTGAGATATTGTGTTTTACAGATGAGGGTGTTGAGATATTGTGTTTTACAGATGAGGGTGTTGAGATATTGTGTTCTACAGATGAGGGTGTTGAGATATTGTGTTCTACAGATGAGGGTGTTGAGATGTTGTGTTCTACAGATGAGGGTGTTGAGATATTGTGTTCTACAGATGAGGGTGTTGAGATATTGTGTTTTACAGATGAGGGATTTGGGACATTGTGTTCTACAGATGAGGATGTTGAGATATTGTGTTCTACAGATGAGGGTGTTGAGATATTGTGTTCTACAGATGAGGGTGTTGAGATATTGTGTTCTACAGATGAGGGTGTTGAGATATTGTGTCTCTACAGATGAGGGATTTGGGACATTGTGTTCTACAGATGGGGTGTTGAGATTTTGTGTTCTACAGATGAGGGTGTTGAGACATTGTGTTCTACAGATGAGGGTGTTGGAGGATATTGTGTTCTACAGATGAGGGGTGTTGAGATATTGTGTTCTACAGATGAGGGATTTGGGACATTGTGTTCTACAGATGAGGATGTTGAGATATTGTGTTTTACAGATGAGGGGTGTTGAGAT